GGGTGGAGACTACCGCCGTTTTGTCATGCGCCCCTTTTCCAGCAGAGCGCGGCCGGCATTCGTGCCCCCGCCCCATCGTCTCTTCCTCTGTCCCCCAAACGGGCGCAATTTCCTTCCATTCTTCGCGCCTGTGTGACTTCGCGCCGCTGCCTGGTGATCGGGCTAACACAGCAGGAAATACACTGACATGCCCACAGCCGTGCGCGTGGTGTGCGGGCCCGGTGTTGTGGGCGCACGCCCTCATGCCGAATGAACCCCACTGCGTTGAGGAATTTAAAACTGACGGGCGCGGGCGGCACGAGCACACGTGCGCCCCTAAAGCGCCGATTCGCCGTTAACATCGCCACTCGGACCCCCACTTGAATCGCGCCAAAAGGCGGTGTTTCCCCCTCACTCGGAGGCCCACGGCAGCTTGCCGGCTGGGCGGGCAGCGGCGAACATACCAACGGAGTGCAGCAGTAAAGGGACGCCGGGCCGCGCGGCTCTCACACACCGACGCACCGGGACACGGCGTTTGGCCTCTCTCCAAAAGGTGACGGAAAATCCTCAGAAAGTCGGTCGCAATGCCGGCCTTCTGCGGGCGGCTCCTTCTTGCGGGTTGCGTGGTTTTGTTGGCGGGTAGGTGGCTGGTTTACATGCGCTTCCCCTGCTATTTGGTGTGTCGGTCCGGCATTGTTTCTGCCTGCGTAGAAGTGCGGAGTAAATATAAGGCGGCGGGAGACATGCAGGAGGCACGCCCATCATTGGCTGCCCACGGGCCGCGCGGGCGAGTTAAAAAAAAAAAAACAAACAAGCGGGCAATGCAGCAAACAAAACAAAGCAAAAACAAACTGCCAGGGGGGATGTGACTCCTGACAAAATTTACGCTGTCGGGTGTTTCTTCTGCATCTTCGAAAGCAGCGGCTCCAGCGGAGGCACCCCGCGAAAGATGATTGCAGTGCGCTCCGCTCGCTTGTACTGCGTTTTCCTCCCGTCAAAAACAATGGGGCTTCCTTTCGCCAACAGGTTCCCCCGTACCCGTTCAAGGTGCTCGTTGTCGACGGCCTCCCAGTCCACGCTGTGCTCCCACTCATAGCAGGCGTTGCCGATGAGGCCGTAAAACGTATGCGGGGCCAACAGCAGCTCCACCCTCTCCTCGGGGCGCCTCGGATGCTTCAGCGTCATTGCGCGTGCGGAACCGAGGCGAAGGCCGGCCACGATGCCACTTGAGTTCCGACTGTCGTCCAAGTGAGCGCTAATGAAACCGCTGGCGCTCAACCGCAAAAAAATGGACGCGGTCATCCAGGAGTGATGCTGACAAGATACTCGGAGACAATCTTCCGGCACCGCCGCAGCGCGTTGCGGGCAAGCGTCATCACTCCTTCATCCAACACGTCGCAGCCGCTGTGGTTGGCGTCACCCGCGGCATTTCCCACAATTTCCCTATAAGGGCGATAACACTCCCTAAAGTGGTGAATCAGCGAGTCCATATGGCCATCGTTGTACGCAAGCCGGGAAAACCACGGCGCGGTGAAGGTGAGGAGTGCCTGCTCCTCCACATCGTCAATCACCTCTGAGACGACGAACGCCGGAACGCACTCAGGAGGGATAAGTCTGGTCGCCACCCCAATCACCTCACATGGCTTCGACTGACGAAACGACGGGGCGTGGCGCAGAGACATGTACTTTGGCAGCGTTGCCCACAAGGACCGGGCCAGTTTCATGATCGCTACGATACTCTGCGTGTCCCTCCGTCCGGCGGTGTGTGTGTGTTGGACGTTGATCGTCTTCTTCTTTCTCTGCTTCCACACCCGCCGGCGTGAACAGCCCCCACAAAAGAAAAAAAAACAAAAGAAAGTAAGTACATATATAAAAAAAAAACAGCAAATTCACCGCAATGACGGCAGCGAAAGTCAACAAACACACCATACAAAAAAGCAACTTCGCACCACATTCAGGCAACATATATGTCTTGTCTTCGGTCTTTGCTCTCAGTGCAAACCCCATCGCCACACCATTGCGAGGCAGCAGGGCAACGCTGCTCTCTCAGCCGTGAAAAATTCCGGTGGAGACGGCAATGGACAACTCCCGCTGCCCAGCGGACTCCGCGTACGCGTGCAGCAGCGACTCCAGCGTCTGATCGGGCGTGGGGATGAACCCCTCGGACCCACGCATCACAAAGAGGTGCAGCACAGGACGCTTCAGCTTCTTCTTGATGCGGGCCTGCACCTGCCCCAGTGTCTCGCTCGGATCGCAGTTCATGTTGGGAAGCGTCTCTGTTATGCCCGTCTTGGCTGTGAGGCGCAGGGTGATTTTGGGCGCTGCTGCACCCTCGGCCATCGCTAGGCCGGGGAAACGATCAAAGCGCAAACGCTAAAGTGGGAAACGCGTTTTACTTGAACCACCGGGCGCAAGGTCGTCGTCCACGGCGGCACCGTCACGTTTCATTGGTGAAAGCATGGAGAGAGCAATTAATAATAAGCAATAGAAAAAAGAAAAAAACAGAAAGGAAGACCAGCAGACGTCAGCACAGTGCTGGGCACGCCGCCGCCACCACGCACAAGAAGATATGCCAGAGAAAAACTTCCGGACGAACCTCCCCCCCCCCACCTTCTGGTGATGCGAAGTCACAAATAACGAAGATAAGGATCGCATGCACGAGCGTGTCGCGGGCTCCGTCGGAGCCCCGCACCTCTTCCCACATAAGCAGAAAAAGCAAAAACGAGAAAAGAGTCGTCTTCGCCCCACGCTCCCACAGAAAGGGAAGGAGGTATAAATAGTAAAATGGTGCGGCATCTACACAAAATAAACGAGTGACAGTTGGGGAAGGTAAAAAAAAAAGAAAAATGCATTGCGCGTGGGCGCACGCGGGTCTCAGCGTAACTGAGACCCTGGCGCCTTAAACTCCTCTTGATTTCTTTTTTTTTTTTCATTATTATTATCTACTGCATTTTAGCTGTGTGCTCCGCATTGAGCGTGTTGAAGTAAAAATCTGCAGCTGTTCGTACGCCGTCTGTTCCCCTTCGTGGGGTGGGGGGCTTATCCCTTTTCCTTGTCGTTGCCTCCTCCCGCTGGCGGCGTTGGCGGAGCCGCATCGCCATCTCCCTTCGGCGCCGCTCCGCCCATCGGCGCATCGCTCAGCACAAAATCGTGCTCGTCGCCGTCGTCGTCGCTCTCTGCCTCCTCCAACTCGTCTTCCTCCGAGAGGAGGGCGCCGGCGTCCTCGGCGGGCAAACTCGCGCCCATCACAGAAGGCCCAGCGACCTCCAACGGCAACACTCCCCGCGCCGTGCCCGAAAACGGGTTCACGCACCCCACCAGGGCACTGAACTCGCCGCCAAGACAGTACATAATTTCGTCCCAGAGACATTCGCGACGCCGCATAATTTGATCTGGCGGAAAAGCCTGCGGCAGTGACACATCCACACCGTAGCGTCGCTCACGCATTGTTCGTGCCTCCTCCAGTTCTTCCTTCGTTGGAAACCGATCGACCACCCCTCCAGATTCCGACAGCAACGGGAAAGGTCTAAAAAACGACGGAGAAAGCTTTACCGGAAACCAATGCCCATTGGCCACCTCAGCCTCCAACTGCTGCGTCGGCCACCGCATGCTGCCCCAGTACACCCGCAGGGAGGATCGTGGCTGACCTGGCACAAGCTGGGCCAAGTAGGGCAACGCCTCCACCTTGGAGAGGTACAATGTAGGCTCCACCGTGCCATCCTCCAAAGTGCCACCCCGAATCAACGGCTTACAGAGAAGCGAATGATGTTCAGAGGGCACATCACTTACTTTGGATTTAGCCTTGCGTTCGTTCCACTTTATCCACGCGAGATACTGAGGAGAGGCGGGCTCTGTCGGAGGCTCTGTCGTGTGCAGAATGCTGATCTGTGCAGTGGGCGGCATGGTAAATCCAATTTGCGAAGAACCACCGTCATGCACCTCATGCCCCCAAAAAACCTCAGGGAACATCGGATTTCCACGAGACAAGGGGTAGGTGAACAACATATCTAAAACAACGGCGGTGGTAACATGTGGATTGCGTTCAGTAATCAACATCACGCGCCGATCCACATGCGTGGAGGAAAGTGGATGGGCGACCAAAGCAACACCTTCGGCAAGGTCAACTGTGCGTGTTTGCCGCAGGACCACCTTCGTGGGAACAGAAAAGGTGGGGTCTCCTAAGGGTGCATACATGGGACCATTCTGCACGACACATGCGGCTGGCTCGGCGCGGTAAGTGCCTGTTTTGGGCCGCGACGCCTGCAACGTGCTCATGAGAAAGGTATGATCCTTCATAAAGAGAGAGACCTTGGCAGTTACCTTCTCGTTGTGCGTGCGCATGCGGGTTAAAGTGTCAAAAGCCAAATTCACGTTCGCTGGCGATTGCCCATCACGAAACACCTCGCGGAGAATGTCCAAATACTTTACACCGTTTGGCACATACAGCGGCCCACGATTTTTCGTTATGGCCTGTAACTCCTTTGTAAGCGGAAAGAGCGTCTTCGACACCGAGGATTTGTCTAGCTTTACCACCTCACGAAGCAGCATGCGATAGAGGGAGCGCACCACGCCAGGAGCAATCATGGGAGAACTCATCGCCACAGGATTGTTGGACGCCGCCGTGGCCAGCAAAGCCATGCCCCGTCGCAGCATGCCTACAACAACGCACTTGGCACACACGCACACACAAACGTTTCACTCAAAGAGTACCTTAAAAAAATCAAAGGACAAAACAAAGACCGCGTCTAGCACAAACAAGCGGCAGCTGGGTTGCTCGAGTGGCATGCACCAGCAGGTGGCGTGTAACATCGTGTGCCCGAGCGTGGGCCAGGGGAGGGAGTGGAATGCATGCGACAGAAATAAAGTTAATGAAAACAAAAGAAAATAACGGTTGCAAGCAGTGTCAACGACTTTAGGTCAGCGCGCCACAGTGCGCGCCCCACAAGCGAAGACACACGCAGAAATTATGCCGCTTTCGTGTTGGCCCTGTACGGAGCATGTGCAGAGACTTACGCATGCTCGGAGACGCTCCAGACGCGGATGACGTTGTCGGTGTATCCGGAGTACAGGGTGTTGCCGTCAGCGGACCATGCGATCGACACGCACTCAGGGGTCTTCTTGCTCCTCTGCTGTGCCTCGGGCGCGAGCTCGACGATGACATCCTTGTTCTCCAGGTCAAATATGCGGATGCCCTTCTCGGTGGCGGCGCACATCCAGTAGCGGTTGGGCGAGAAGCAAATCTGGTTGATGGGGGCACCAGCGGCAATCTCAGAAAGGGCCTCACCCTTCGTCAGGTCCCACAGGCGGGCAACGCCGTCCTTGTCGGACGAGGCGCAGAGAGAGCCGTCGGGGGAGACCGTCACGGAGGTGACGTAGTTCGTGTGGCCCTTCAGGTTCGTCAGGAGCGTGCCGGAGGCGATGTCCCACACTTTGACAAGGTTGTCCCAGCCGCCTGACACGATGAGGGGCGCCTCGAGGGACGGGGAGAAGCGGACGCAGCTGACCCAGTCAGTGTGAGCATTGCGGCTGAGCGTGTGCAGGCACTCGCCCTTGACGTTCCACACCCGCAGCACATTGTCGCGACCACCGGAGACGATCTGGCGGTTGTCCGGCGAGAAGGTCACGGAGAGCACGTCCTTGGTGTGCCCCAGGAACTTTTGCTGGCAGCTGCCGTTCTGCAGGTTCCACAGACGCAGGGAGCGGTCCCAGGAGGCAGAAACGGCGAAGTCGCCGTTGTTCGAAAGGGCGACATCCGACACGAACGCGCTGTGACCCTCCAGACGGCGCTCTGGAAAACCGTACTCGCACTCCTCGCTGTTGCGGTCGAGGTTGCCGCCCCACGCAATGAGTGTGTTGTCACGAGAGGTCGACACCGTCTTGATGTACGTCTCGGGGATCTGTGGGCAGGCGAGGGAGGTCACCCAGCCGCGGTGCCCCTTGAGTTGTCCCTCGTAGACGACAGCCATGGTCAAGAGCAGTGGGAAACAAATAAAAAGTCTGGAAGAACACCGAACACGTGTGCGCTGCTTAGCTTGCTGTCACGGAGGAAGAAGGAGAAAACAGAAGCAAACCATAACGTAATGACAGTAGACCGCGTCTAGCACAAACAAGCGGCAGCTGGGTTGCTCGAGTGGCATGCACCAGCCGCTTCTACGGCCCACATATACAAGAATAATGCAACGAGATGGACGTCCGCAACACACCCACATCATGTGTTTGCAATGTATTTTAGCGCCCACTGTGGTGACGGCGTCGCAGCGCATCGAGAAACGCCTTCAGTGACGGCGCAGCAAAACACATGGAGTCTGCAACTGCACCACAGATGCTAAAGTCACCTTGCGAAAGCGAGACAACGCAGCGACGCACCTCATTGATCTCCTCCTGGCGCAGCCGACGAACCCTTTTAGAGGCAGTGACTTCTACTTCCTGCCACGCTTGTAAAGCATTCGTGCAGGGTTCCGTGCCGTAATAAAGGCCCAATAACTCGAGCAACTCCGGCAGCCGCATGCAGTCCATGTGCAACCTATAGCCGAAGCGGCCGGGCCGCAGCAGAGCGGGGTCGATGCCACTGGCATCTCGAGTGGTCATCACTACGATGCGGGACGGCGTCTCCACTACGCCGTCAAGGGCGTTAAGCAGGCCGGAGAGCGAAGCGGCGTCGTTGAACTGCAGCCTTCGTGGGACAAACGTCGGGACTTCGCCAGCTTCACCCTCGCGGTTACCCCCTTCCGCGGTGGAAGGGCGACGCAGCAACGCATCCCTATGGTTGACGTCGTCGAGGAGGAAAACGACGTCGCCGTAGGAGAAGCGAAAGGGCTGGCTTTCCCCGACACACCTCAGCTCACGGCCGAGGAAAACATCAAACAGCTGTTGGTTCGTGGAGAAGAGAGGGAGGCGCAAAAATGACATGCCGGGAGGTGTACGCCGCCAGCGCCGCC